ATGAACAACAAGTGTGATCAACTGTTAGTCCTCTTATATATTTTGAAGTTATAGAGTGACATGCAACCGACCGTGTGATACTTCAATTTGGATATGTTCAGCTTATTCCTCTTCAACCCCAATAACTTGAAGGAGTCCATAACAGAGACCTACATGGAGCAAAAGAACCAAAGGATTGGATAGTCATACATCATGAGTGGGTAACAATGTAGGAGCATCGATATGAATATATTTTAGAAGAAGTTCAGCCTCAAAATTTCTATTCTTCTAATGAATATTGTGCATGGTACACATTGTATGCAATGGATTGGTTATAGTTATCCCCACAAATGCAAGACCTAGCACCTCAATAATGATTGTTGCCTATAGAGCCATCATTTTCTGAGCATGATGACATTCCTATGGATGCACCGCCTATCTAGCCATAAGATATTCCAACAGCTTCTTTACAACCAAATCAATAGTGTTATTGGTCACCTGAAAGGAATGAGCGGCAACCTTTTCAATGGGATGAACAATCACTATAACCACAACAAGGACGTATGTTTACAGGTAGGGTAGATTTTGGATGTGGTAGAATAAGCAGGCAGAAAAAAGGTCGAAGGTCAGTTGATTGTAGTAGAACCAGTGAATTTTCTCATGGATTTATTTCAACATATGATTTTATGATAGATCCAACTTCACCTTCCCAAAGCAATTTGGCTCCAAACTTTCATTTAAATGAAGAACCAACTATGGAAGATGTTTATGTACATAAGAAGAATGTATATCGACTAGAACTAGTGTATGATGCTCTACCTGTGCAATGGTCTATGCCGATTAGCTCATGGGATTTCACACCTCAAGAATATATAGATACCCAATCATCAGAAAATGTACAAGAGTCAAAACCCCAAGCAGATGGGGATGCAACAAATGAGGACGTAGACACACAAGAGGATGCAAGTCAACCAGATAAACGAAGGGAATTTCTTTCTCGCATGTTACGTCCCTTTACACAGCCTTCTGATAGATATAGTCCTTCATTAATAAAAAAGAAAAAGAAAAAAGAGGATAGTAATTAAATTTAGTAGTGATTTTTGTATCAGTGACAATGTCTGTAATGTAATGTTGTTATTTACTACATCTTACTATGAGTGGTGTTTGTTTGTAATGTAATATTGTTATTAAGTTATTAGTGGTTTCTGCATTTGTCAACAAAATCTTATTATTGTTAGTATGTGTTTATTAAATCTTGTTCTACATTATATTTGTAATGTAATGTTATTTATTTAAATCTTATTATTGTCACTATGTGTTTAAATTTAAATAGAAGTTACTAAAATGTGGTTGGTCATGTAATTGTAAATTAACATAATCGAATAAGTTAAAAAATTACAAGATACCAATAACAATACATTAATATAAAAGAAACTGATGTTCATCACAATCAATAACAATATAACAAGCAAAACATCATTACTCCACACTATGAACTAGGGCCAAGAGCATTAGAACAACCGCTACGACTATGGTTTTCACCTCGACAAAGACTACAGCGTCGTGGCTGCCTCATTTGTCGCTCGTCCATTTCATTAAGAAAACAAGTTGATTTTGGACGACCTTTTAAAGTACGCTTTAAGGCAGAGTTGTCCTTGATATTTGCGCCACTTCAATTCATTCCCGACAACTCCGAATTCTTTCTTGTAGACTTTGCACACTTCATTGATTGTATAGACTTCATTCACATAAGCACGCCAGTCAATGTTTTGACTACAACAAGCAGCAATGACGTGGCGACATGGATATCTATTAGTTTGAATATTTCCACAATCATAATAATTTTGTTTTAGATGAACTCTATATTCCTAGTTGTTGGATAAATCTTGAATATGAAAAGTCTCATTGCGTCTATCAAACTGAGTGACACGAAGGTTTCTTGAGCCATGCTAGTTTGATTGAAAACGACTTGTTATATTTTTTGAGAACAAATGTCCAACATTCTTACGTGCATAAGCCTCACTCCCTTTACGTGCAAACAATTGTGCCAATCGGAAGTATGTAGCTCGAATAAGTGTTGTAATAGGGAAATTGCGAGCACCTTTCAATACAGAATTAATGCATTCAACGAGATTTGTTGTCATATGGCCCCATTGATGTCTGCCATCAAATGCTAAAACTCATTTTTCTCGTGAAATTTCATTAGGCCAGTCTATATAAATTTGTCCACGCTTCTATATTCGCTCATAATAAATATTAAATTCATGCTCAGTTCTTGAGTAACTTGTAAATAACAAATTCAAATTTCATAAGCATAAACATTGTCATCTAAAAACAAGTACATTGTATTACTTCAAATAAGGAAATGAGGTTAATTACCCATACGAATAACAAGTTTATGCAAGTTAGGAGCCTTGAATCTTTGAAAAAAAATTTAGCAATGCGCCTAATACAATACATTTAGAGTGCTCTTGGAGGTTCCCACTGGCCATTGCTTCTTCTTATTGCTGCTATAATTGACTCTTGACGATCAGAAATTATACCAACACCATCTTTAGTAACAACATATTTTTATAAATTTTCTAGGAAAAAACTCTAACCATTTGTTGTCTCACCCTCAATAACAGCAAATGCAATCGACAATATATTCTATTTTCATCTTGTGCAACAGCCACTAGTAGAACTCCTTTGCAATGCTCTAATGCAAGGACCAAAACTCCAAAATACTCATCATAGTATTTGAACATTAGGAACTATTTTACCATTGCGATAAGCCTCTGCAACATCTAATTTCAAAACAGATCCTCGAATAGCATCACACATTGCTATGCACCATTGCAGCAAAGTTTCAAATGAGGCTTTCCACTGATCAAATACATTTTCAATTGCCTTTTGTTTTTCTAACTAAGCTTTTCGATAACTTATCGTATACCTAAATCGAGACTGGATTTTCCCAATCACTACTTTGATTTTAAAAGAAGGATCATATTCTACCATTGGTTTTATACATTTAGCAATTGTGTCTGTATCTAACTTTCTGTGATCTTGATAAATGATTCTAACAGTACAAGTGTATGGACTATTATATTTTTGGATTTTCTAAAAATACTCATTCTTCCTGAAACTAGCTCAAAAAAATTAGCTGCAATTTAAGTCATATCTTACACATTTGCAATAAAAAGTATTTGGTTCTGATTCTAACACTTTGTAATCCACTCCTTTTGATATACTGTAATGCTTTACTATTTTTATAACAGCTTCTTTGTCACTGAATTGCTTTCCAACATGCAGTTCATCATCTATCTATGTGTCACCTATTAATAGCAAACATAAACTAATTAACAAAACTAAAATTAATTTCACTAATATAATTACAAATTTCACATACATAAGTTTGCATACTCCAAAAATTTAGAAGTATTCATAGAATTAAGATCTAATTCACGCATGAAGGGTGGCTCGCCAAAAGAATGTTGCCCACCCATATGGGGCTCCTCTTCATCAACATCATCATCAAGATCCTCATCGCTTTTCTCATCACTTTGATAATCTCCTTCAACGTCATAGTCATCACTTTCACTGTTGTTCTCTAATAGCATGACAAATTTTTATTGAACTTCATTACTTTTGAAAACAACATACAAATCAACCGTACCACTTGGAGGATGACGTTGTTGATGTATCTGAAACATTTGTTGAATGTCATCATCGTTGGTTATTGGAATCAAATGATATTGCATAAAACTGCCAAATATCGACACTGGATATCGATACATAACACTTTCCACTATTTTTAGAAACAAAACTTCATGAACATATTGACAAAGCCAACGCTTTAAATCTTCAAATGATACATTATATGGAATTTACACACATGTTGGTTTCTCGCATGCAAATGACATGCTTTCGCTGTATTTGGTATAATCTCATCGTTAAAATAAATTACAACAGACACACTCATTTTTTCTTTTCATAAACACACAAGCTTCACACACACTCTCTAAGAACTTGTAGAGACGAATTGCAAAGAATTCTAGTATTTATAGCCTTATCAAATAAAAATCGCTAATGACATTTTATAACATTTTTTGAAAATTTACATTGGTAAAAAATCGCTATTAGCGAGTTTAAAAAAGTTAATGCTTTTCCAACAAATAAAAGTTGTTTTGTACTGTAAAATTAGCAATGACGAGTTTACTTTATCAAATTTTATTTTTTTGCGCCTTAAAATCGCCATTGGCATTTTTATATACATCATATTTATGTAATTTTGTAAAAAATATTATATTTTTATAATTTTATTTTAGAAAAATCATAATAAAAAAATGACCCTATTTTATATTAAAATAATATATACAAAAAAATTTATACAAAAAAGTCCAAGCAAAAAGTCAAAATAACAAAATATATATCAAATAATTAACTAACAAGTAGTTACTGAATTTTTAATTTTTCTTTATTAACTAATATGTATAAAGATATTTGTTTTGAGTTTTAAAATTAGAAATTAGTATTAAAAATAAATTCAAGTAATTAAAATAAACCATAACTCAAAAATCAACGTGTAAAATAAATGAATATGTATAATAAACTTTTGGTAAGTTGAGTTATAAAAAAAAAAACTTACAAAGTAGTTAGTTTGCTTCATTTTAAAAAATAGATTAAAAAATATTAATTTAGCTTAACTCACAAAATTTAATAGATACTCACAATATTTAAAAATAAAAAAATAATTTTAATATACATTTAATTTTTATACACTAATTATACAATTTTATAATATTCTTATTTACATTAAAATATTTATCATTTTAAAATTATAAAAATATTCTATATGTACATTAATAGAGTATATTTATTCTTAACACGTTCTGTTTGACACGTATTAGAAAAATTAGTTATTATATTATTATTTAATATAGTTTTATTCACAATTAATGTGTCATAATCATCCCGAGGCTTCAACGGAAAATAGGGATGACACCAACTTAACGCGGAATAAACATGGGCTAGGAGAGCTTAACGTCTACCCTTAAATTTGCAATGTTTGTTCATTTTTTTGTAGTAATTAATATGAGGTACCACATAAAAAAGAAATATTAATATGAATTAACATAGTAATTTGCTAATCCACAATATATAAGATAAGGTGACAAGGTCCAAAAAATAAAATAAAATAACCAGAGATTGGAAGAGAAGGTGAAGCGCAGAACACAACACAGAAAGAGAGAAAGAGAGAGAAAACATCAAAGATGGGTCTTTGCTTTGGTTGCTTCGGCGCAGGCGACAAACGCATGACCAAGGAAGAAGAGAGATTGGCCTCCGAAGAAGCGCGTGCCAAAGCCGCTGAAGCCGCACAGAAAAGGTTTACCTTTGTCCATTTCTCAAACTTTCTTTTTTCCTTTTTAATTTCAAGAAGAATATTCTATGATCTTAATTAACCACTTTATTCCTGCAAAAATTATAAATTAAAAAACTGATTTGGGTTTTTATTTGTGAACCCACATGGTATTTTAGAATCTTGCTTAGTGTACTTGTGTAGATTAATCTATTTTTGCTATCATTATGTATGAAAAAAAAAATATGCATCTGCTTTTGTTTGCCCTTTTGCTTTATATCTCGGCAATCACGCTTTTTGCTCTTCTATCCCTTCAGAACAATAGTAAACCCCAATTTGAAAAAAAAAAAATAAACAAACTGAATTTTGGTAACTATTGTCTAAACTTCAATTGAATATAATATATTGCTTTACAGTTCCAAGCCTTAATTTTGTTCATAGAGTTCATTGCTGCTTCTCATCCTTGACTGTCATACATTGATATTGTTAAGATATCTCCCATTGAACTAGGAATAGAGTCAGAATATTCTTTATAAGGCTTGAGGCTTGGATAATCCTTCTTCTATGAGTTAGCTTAATGCTAGGTTGCCCACAAATGTCCAATCCTGTTGGGCCACTTGCAAATGTCCAGTCCTACAAAACTTCACACACTAGATGTCTAGTCTTAGGTGTGACGAGTGTGTGTTAAGATATCCCACATCAACTAGGAAATGAACCAAAATATGCTTTAGAAGGCTTGGGTAACCTCCCTCCTATGAATTAACTTTTGAGAGTGAGTAAGGCCTTTCAGGTTATTGCAAGATTTTAGATAGGATAACAGAAAAAGACGGTCCTATGAGTGAGGTATTACTAAATGTTCTGACATGTTTGTGGAAGTCAATAGAAAATGGGTGCAAGGATTACTGTAAATAACAAATAGATAATGAAATAAAGATTACTTTTAGAGATGGGGTGAAAACAAACGATATTTTAATGTTGTTATAATGGTGTTTTATTTGGTAGTGATTGTATAAGTAACTGTAGATTAACTGATATGTGTTGTTTGGAATTGCAGGCAAGAGCAATTTGAGAATTCTCCAGCAGGAAGAGCTGCACGTGCACAGCAACAAGGAATGGCAAAGCAAGCTGCAAGTTCCAACAAAGGCGAACCAGTTCTAAAGGTTTGGTGATTCAAGATGCTGCATTTTTATTTTTTTTTAAATATGCTAAAGTTTCATCATATAATTCCAGAGATAGATCCAGTGCTTCTTGATTAAGTGTTCGTTGCAATTTGTTCTTTAATTTCTTTAAAAATATCATTCCCTGTAATATGCTTCTTTCTTGCCCATGCTTCTTGACTAACAATCATCAAATAGATTTGTACGACACACATTTATTAGACCTCACTAATGATATGTTTTGACACTTTCATTTGTGGATGCAGTGGCAAATGGGTTGAGATTGGACATTCTGTTTGTTAAAGTCAACTTTTTATTACTTGTAAGGTGAACAATCTATCTGATAAATTCTAGTTTTCCTATTTATTTAGTAATGCAATTTTGTTTAGTTTTAAGTTCTACAAAAAGTAACTCTATTTTTTATTGACAGAATTTGTTTTAAGACAGATAGCATTAACATCTATATGAAATTATGTAGAACAGTAGATTGGACAATAAAAGCGAGTTTCTGCCTATACTGGACTGAACCGATTTTGAAAAATGTGAGGAAACCTATGGAAAACAAACAAGCATGTTAGGTCTATTTTGGGTTGTAAACAAGATTTACATAAACAGAAGTTCAATGTTTGTTTACAGCGATGCACCTCACTGTCCAAAATGCAGTGATGGCATTTATTAAGGTTGAAAAGAAAAAGATTTTGTTGGTATGCATCTCAATAAAATTTTGATGATAATCAAATTTATAAATTTTCCTAGACATTCTGTTCAAGCCCTGCATATGTAGTATTATAACAGTGTCTGCAAAATGCTACTCAACTACACACTGACCACTCTTTTTCAGTGAATACAGCAATTAAAAATTTAGAATGCTAGGGGGAGGGTAGCAAAAAGATTTGTTTTATGTCAATCAATATATTCCATCGTTCCTGGATTATCATAATATAGTAATTTGATTCTGAACTAGACAAAAAACAAATTGCATACTGAATCTTACCAACTCAGTTGAATTAGGTTAACTCTCTGATTTCTTCAGGTTGTGTTGATTAGGACCATGTATTATGTTTGTAACTTAGTGTTAAAGTAGAAACAAATATCAAGTACTTTTGACCTCATGGAATGTAAATGTCTCTTTATTTCGTGGGAGAACATTTTGCCTTAGTTTTCTTTTTTGTGTTACAGTATTAATGACAGCTCCCGTGAAATTCTATGCTTCGCATGCTTCCCATGTTCAACAGATGAACAAAAGATATTTACTGCCATTGTATCATAAGTGGAATTGTTGTTTTCCAGACCAAGAAATATTCTGTTGATTGTAAATTTGTAAAGAATTCATGGTGACTGGAAATGGGGATAAGTTGAGAATGTAGTGTTTTTTTCCCTCTTCAATGATATTTTGGCAACTCCATTCTCTTTCTATAAAAATTCAAGCCATCAATTTGTGTACTTACTTCCAGCTTTGAGCATCTTACATATAAGGAATGAGCTTTGGCGCGAGTATTACTAGTCACAGTGGAGAAATTGGATCTATTCAGATTAATAATTAGACTAACTGGTATATTTCCTGATATTTTTCTATCCATCTTCGGCTACTACGAAGAATCAAATACGTTTAGCGTATCAAAGAAACAAAAATATATAATCGTGGGACTAAAAGTGACACTTAACCCAATCATTTGAAGAAATTCTTCCTACGAGCTTTAAATAATGAGTTTTATAACCTTCCCTAAAGTGAAGGGTTTATTTCAAAATAAAACATGCGGAGTTCTATTTTAGCCTAACCTAACACCTTGTAGGAGATCAAAACTATATAGTACAGTCTGCTGTGGGACAGTAAGTTATAAGGGCAAGTCCTTGCCACTTAACTTGTCCTTTCGTGTTAACTAGTCAAGTGCAAGGACATTTCGTTGAACCAGAATCCAAAATTAAGTAGCTAGATTTAGCTACACATTTTTGAACAAATGTTGAAACCAAGTGTAACCATGGAATGAGGTTTTTTTTTTTTGTTTTTTCTTTTTTCCATTAGTTTCTGTCATGGTTTTTCTATATAACACTGTTGGTTGATCTCACTTTCCCTCAACCACAAAAAATTGAAGTTATCCCAATGCCTCAGTCACTCAAACTTTTGTACTGGAGCTGAAAGCTTCAGCTCATATGCAGCTTGAAAGCAATCTGCTGCTTGTTGTAATGAACCTTCCATTTTTGAAACCAATCCAAGGTTAAACCATGCATCATGGTTTGTAGGTTCTATTCGCAAAGCATTCATTAAAAAGCTTCTTGCAAGAGGAAGTGATTGCATGCCAAGTTTAAGCAATAATTTTGCAGTTGAAATGATACTGGGAATGTAATCTGGTTCAATTGACAATGAGACAGAGAAGGAAACAAAGGCCTCCTTGTTTAATGATTGAGCTTCAAACAATGTCCCTGCCATCGTTACAGCCAGTTCATTGCAGATTAGTGATTTGTTAATATGCATGGTGTAATGAACACAAAACACAGAAACATACCTGTAATATGCCAACTTCTGGGAGAAAAAAATTCTATCAACTGGGCCTTGTCAACACAAGCTTTTGCATCAAGAAAGGAACTAATATCTGCATAAATGGTAGCCAAATCCTGCCAGGCTTCCATTTCCAACCTTCGTTCTGCTAATGCCTACAAAGAGATAAAAGGTCAAGCAGGGAAATTCTTCTCAGGAACTAACAATATTCAAAATTGTCACTAGCAATAAATTCGTGATATTGATGCATACGATCTTGGGCAACAAAAAATGAAAAATTCTAGCATATAATAAGGTAGAGGAGTATTGGTTAATGGTTTCAAATTTAATTAACTAATCTCAACATAAATGCAACTTCCAAAAGACAAGAGCCATTGCTTCTAAGCAGTTAACTTTAATCCAAGTATATACAAGAGAGGTTAAGTTGTGTCATTCCCTTCAACAAGAATACACACCTCATGCCGGAATGTTTGTGCTTGATCTAAATTCTTAGCTTGAAGCCAAAGCTCCTTTTGTGCTTCAATTACTGCTAGCAAGATTCTGTAGGTTTCTATTGCATGTTTGGGTTGCTGCTGAGCAATTTGAAGTACAGCTTTCAGTCTTAGTAGTTCTAATTGATCTGTCCTCCCAGCCTCATCGATCGCAAAATCAACTACAGTTTCCGCATCCTTAAACCGCTGCTGAGCTGATACTATGAGTGCTAACAACTGCCAACCTCTTCTTGAGCTTCCAGCCATCATGTCTAAGTACATCATTATATTGTCATAAGCTGCATTTAGATTCCTTTGAATTGCATTTTCCAGTCCAAGGCTGAATATTACTTCTGGATCACCATTTTTCGTTATAGCAGCATCATTTAGAAAGTTCAAGGATTCTCTTTGAAATATAACTCTTTCAGAATCCACTACAGATATTCTAGCAGCATCACCATGGCAAATGCCAAGAAATTTTTTGCCTTGACCCAAAAAATGCTCATTGTGATGCTTGGCTAGATCAATAACTTCCCGTGAAAATTTAATGCCTTCATGAGCATGGTTTGGATACAGGGAACACAGGTTTGCACCATACAAAAATGAAGGAAAATGGGGTCTATGCCTTGCTTCAGAACTACCACAAGCCTTTCTCAGAAGGTTCAAGGCTACTTCATTGTTCCCTGCTGCACTGTAACAAAGAGCAAGAAAGTACCACCTCTCAGCTCGATCATAGATACCTGGAAGGATCTGCTCCACATGATCTGCCAACGATTCAAACATCCCAGTAATTGAAAGCGAAAATGTGAGATGATCCATTATTTCAGCATCCCAGTCTATTTCCTGAAGTATCATCTTTCCTGAGAGAATTAATAGCAAAAGTATTGCTTCTTCAATATTACTCATAGGTGTTGTTAGACCCTTCACTTGCAACTGAGAAGGTAGGTTTACTTCAACACCACCATAGAGTAGTGTGGTAGCTAAATCTTTTTGCACACAGGCCAACCTCTGTGGCTCCAAATTCCAGGGCTTGACCAACGCCCGCCGATGAGCAGTGACAGCTTCATCTAGAAAACCTGCCTTGATCCATAAATTTGGAAGTAACTCCAATGCTTTGTGGAACATTTCTTGCAACTTACAATCTTCACCAATACCCTCAGACATTCCATTAGGAAGTGCAGATTCAACTGTATCCACTATTATTCTACACTCCTTTGCAGCCTCTGGTAAACAAGAAAGCAGCAGTAATTATAATTGTCACCATTGAGAGGCAAACCACTCATATAATTATGATATTGATTCTAATATGGAGTATTGTTCAAGATACACTTCATAAAAAAACAGAACTTTCAATGTCATACACGCAAAAATTGTAGCTTTAAGCAAGAGCATGATAAATCAAACAAAATACAAGAACATGTAAAACACAAAAAGAGTTATGAAGGTGGTGATACCGGTGTATTGCCCAAGTTCTTCTAAGGATTTTGCTTTTAGCAAAATTGCCTCAAGAAGGAGGCTTACTGAATGCATTGACATCACATTAGGAAGCACATTATCTGGCTTGGAACGTGATTTTCTTAGTTTGGTTCTTTCAGCTATAGCCTTGATCATCCTTGGGGTCAAAGCCTTGATATCTATACCCTGAAACACTTGAAGAGCAGCATCAAAGTTCCCTCTTTGATATTCAAGCCTCCCTAATAAAGCTCGAGCTTCCTTAAATTCACCAAAAAGAGAAAGTTAAAATTAAACACTCGTCTTATATTAGCAGAAAATGCCCACATGCTACTTTGAATCATAATTTCACCAAGAAAGAAACACATTAATCCTTACCTCATAGTTTAATGAGAGAGCTTCTTTTAGAGTAGATTCTACATCTTCGACTTGTGTTTCATCAAATTTGGATTCCCAATCCCCAGTCCTTGAAGAAATTCCACTGGCAGAGAAGTCCCTTGTAGCCAAGGACTCAGGTGACTGTGGCGCCTCTTCAAATTTGAATTGCTCCCCGGAACAAGCACACAACATTTTTCCGTTTCAAAGTGAAACTCGTATAATTCCCTTCTCAGTGGATGATTTCACAAAGGACACAACACCTTGAAGAAACACGCTTCTGTTAAAAGTCAACAATGCATTACAATACGTAAATTGATGAACTTAAACACAGTTGAAATGAAAGGAATGCAATATGCTTACTATGACACTATCTGATGCCTAGGCCTATAGAATTAGAACAACATTGGTCTTAAGTAAATAAATGAAGAATGCCACAAAGTACCCTTTTACCTTGAATTTTGAATTTCACAACCTGTGTCGCGAAATGGTTGATAAAACACAAGTGACAAGACGCCAACGAAAATCAGAACGTGGCTTTTAGACAACTCCAGACAATTTTTTTTCTCCAAACATAAAGCAAAGAATAACACTTTCATGCAACAGAAAACCAAACCGCATAACTCATGGGAACAAACAACCAAGTTCGTTGGCAGGAAAAAAAAAGGAGAAGAGAGAGAGAGAGCTATGACATATTATTCAAAGGCAATGATGGGTGTCATAAGAAAGAGAAGAGAACAAAAGTTTTTTCCAGATGAACACAGGCCATGTGAAAGCTGTGAAAAAAAGCAAGACAAACAATAATGAGAACAGTGCTTTGGACTTACCATAGCTCATATTCCAAAGACCTGAACTTTATCAGTGTTGGACGCCATGAAAGCTACCCTTCTGTTGAACTTTCTGTTTCTATGTTTGGATTATTTGAAACTGCTCCTCATTGGTTTAAAAGACACAGCACCTTAAAAAATTCAAAACCTTTTAGCCTAATAAATAAAGAGCACCCAAAAACCAATCCAAAACTTAAACCTATGTAATGAATGAACTATATTCATAGATCTTACTTTAATATATATATTTTTTACAACACCCCTTATCTCTCTCTTTCTTGTTGTGTGTTGAATGTTAGGTGATGGGAGTAACAATGTGGTGCAGAGAAGAAGCAGATGTGGTTGGTTGATTCTTTGAGTTAGTTTAAAGTTTCAACAATGTGGCTGTGTGTTCATACTTGATGGTGATAGTGTTACAGTGAAGTAAAGAGGTGGTTTGAGAGTTGGAGAAACATTTAACAGAAGAAAGTGAAATGAAAGCAAGGGAAAAGGCTGCTACAAACATGGCAAAAGGAAACTCATCAACTTGTCCCCATACATTGGTGTCGCCTTAAATGTGGTTTACTTTTGTAGCTTCTCGTCAGTCACTGTATCAACAACATAAATAATGACTTTGCTACCTGCTTGGTTATATAAGAATTCACACACCTCTTTGAAATATTTCACTGTTTATTAATGAGTAAATGTTAGGGTATGTCGTTAATCAATGAATTAAAAATTTAACAAATTTTTATAAATATTCTCATTTAATAAAATTCTTAAAGATATTATCGTTCAAAAATGCATATTCACAAGTTATATATACAAATTGATTTATTACCCTTGCAACATGTCATAAGGTGTGAGACATGAATTCTTGGATGCTACGAAACAAGTAACATTTTTATTGGGTGCATAAGCGAAAAGGTATAATTTAAAATATATATTTTTTAAAAATTCTAAAAACAAATTGTCCAAATAAGCAAAAATAAAAATATTCACCAAAGAACATTTCGTATTACATTTTGGTGTGTTGCGTGTTGTGGGCGTTCAAAATTGTCACTGTTTAAAAAAAAGTATATATATATATATAATCTAATAATAAAAAAGTTTTATTAAAAAATATTAATTAGGATTACTATTTCATATTTTATTTATTGTAGTAGTAAAATTCTTCCCTTCAGTAATTAGTGACACTAAAAGTTAAATTTAAAATTACATATTAAGCGAAAAGAACTCTCACTAGTTTATTTATGTGTTCACTAATTACAAAGATATTTATATATAATATATGTTTAAAATAACTTAACTAATGTGTTTTTATTTTAATCAATTATTCAAAATTTTATATTATTTTACTAAAAAGTTCTCATAGTTTCATGAGAGCACAAAATTAAGAAAAAATTCCTAACTTAGTATTCTAAATTATGAGTGAGATATTTCAATCTCCAAAATTTTAAAATATAACTCTGTATAACATTTCAAAGTATCACATGTTGACGTCTTCTAACTCAATGAGATATAAGAAAATGAAAATAAGTTCTAACAGAAAAAAAAAATCATATTTGTTCCTTAAATAATTCTTCAGACAAAATTACTACTTTGGTATATTTTTGTTGTGATTTATTTCTTTAAATTTTTTATTTCTTTTGATATTTTATCTTACTATTCTTAAATTAGTTTTTTTTATTAATTGTGCCTATTCTTTTTATCTTTATCAAAATCAGGTGCTTTGACAAAAAAAAAAAAGAAGATTAAAATACTATATTAAAAAAAAGATATTAAAGTATTAATTTTGTTGATTTCTCTCATTTTGAAATCATTAAAAAACAGCCTTCCTATAAATTAGGTCTTTATAGGAATCTTAATTTCTTAGGCATGAAAAGGGAATTAAGGTCTTCTCCTTTTTTGAAGCACATATGAGCAGAAATTAATTTAATCCATATTTGTAAATAAATTAGAAGAAAAACGAAAATCAAGAATCGATTTTCGTACCGTTCAGCATTATTGAAAACATATGTCTCGGATAATAACTTCACTTTTTGAAATTGAAAGTAATCCAAATTACACTAATCCATGTAACGAGATTAGCGGATAAATAATGACTGCTTTCTCTTGTTTGCCACGCTATAATAGATTACTTAATCCTGTTTGGAGAAGAGGTTATTGACATATTAGGGAGATTAACAAATAATTTTATTTAGTGGCCATTATTCAATTAGTCCTTATGTATTGTTGACTCAAAAAAGAGGAACAAAATTAATGAAAATCAGAGATACTTTGTTTGGTTTATAAAGAGAAAAGAAGAAAAATAAATAAATTTACTATTATATATTTAAGAATAATTTTATTTAATTAAACGTTCATCACTCTTCTAAACTTTTTAATTTTGGAGGGAAGCCAAATTTGAGTAAGGAAAAATTTTAATCTTCTTTTTTTTTTCTTTCAAAATATTAGTGTTGGTATATTTAGTTTCATTAAGTTGTTTCTTCAGGATAATGAACTTAATGATAGAAAAAGTTAAGGAACATAAACTTCTAACATTTGATTTTAAATTTGACTCAAGAAAAATATCTTGTAATCGTATGATTTAAATGGAATAAAATTTAACTTATTTTAAAGTGAGATAAGTTTTGTGTTTAATTAAAATATATTCACAATATAAAATTTTTTTGCACGGTCATTTATTTATGTACTATTATATCAGTAAAAATTATTAAATTTTATAATGCTTAATTTAAAAGTCAATAACAATTCTAATTATTATAAAAAATGTATCAAAATTAAATTCTTAAATATTTTAAAATATATATAATTAAATATTAATTATGATAAAATAGAGTTGTTTGTTATTTATAAACTTGACAGGATAATGTATACTTTCTTGAAATAAAAGGTTAATATTTTAAAAAATTAAAGATATTTACAATTTTTTAAATAAATTATTAATTTCATCATGTTACTACAAACGTCTTACACGTGAGAGTACACAATGTTCTTGATTTCCGAGGCTTGTAAAAATTATCTGAGAATAAATTTATTAAAATTATGTATATATTTTTAATAAATTAAACTCTCTGACTCTATGTGTGTTCTCTTCTTCAAACGGATTAAATTAAACGAACTCTTTTCTTTTAATTATTTTAAGAGTGTTTATAAAATCATTTACGTGAATCTAAAGACTTGTTTATGACTCCATACTATAAGAAACATGATCGGGTCAACTTGGTTGGTTGACATTGTAAATTAGTGAGACAGGACATGTGATTAATGGCCTTGCACCAAACTAATTTACGGAATTTTCAATTCGATTTCCTTGATCAATGGTTAAATTCAAAAAGATGATAAATCATGTGTAAATCAAGCCTGTTTAACGTGTTTAAAGAGAAATATTTTTAATCATTTTAATAATCAACGACAAATTTCAAAAGTTAGTGGTTGGGAAAAAGAAACAATCAATCATGCTTGGCAAAAATTTCAAAAGGAGGCACATGGAGACATCCTTGGAACAGAACAGAACACAAGTGGCTATCACGTGGAGGTGAATTCATGGGCATCTGCTGAATGAAGGTTCAAAAAGCATATTAGCATGGAGTCCTACTTTCTTTGGCTTTTCGTTTGTCGTTACATAATTTTCTGCGGTAGATTCCTTCGGCGACCTTCCCCTACATACCCCTGTCATGTCACCTTCCTTCTCGTTTTCATCCTCTATCCTTCACAATTAAGTTAAATGATTATGTTTGACAGTTTTGATTAAAAAGTCAAGCTGGTCAATTTATTTAAATGAGTAAAATTTTGTTGGTAATTTTTTCATTCAATATCTTCAACTTGTGCTCAAAAATATTTAATAAAATAATAAACTTTATTACAAATTATAATATTTAATGTCATTAACTACACCAACTAACAACATGACATATGTTCAGCCTTGTGCAATCCGTGGTCCAATGTGTCCTCAACTCTGCCACAACGGCACTGTCAATCCAATAATTCTTCTGTCCCCATTAGAAACTAAGCTTGTTTTTCGAAAGATGGGGAAAAAAATGAAATCATAGATAACAATGCATCTTTCTTTGTTTGGTAAAGGAAAAAATTAAAAAAAAAAAAATTCAAGCTCTTCTTTATATTTTTCCTTCAATTTCAATTTTTATTTTTATTTTTTTTTTTGTCCATCATCTTCCTTCCACTACCGAACAAAGTGTGTAAGAATAAAGGGGAACACCGTGGAACCTAAGCACAGCATTCAGACTCTGCTTTTGATTGCACTGAAATTAACTTTTTCGTTGCAATAGACTCGTTAAGCAAACAAGATCAGCTTCTTCTAGGCATATATATAACATGCAAATATCAATTCACACTGGTATAGTTTGCAGAAACAGTTTTCCTAGTCATTAAGTTAAAAATAATGAAGTATAAAATTGATGATGGAATCCACAAATGAACACAATCCCTGCAAATTATTATATGCCCCACTCAAAACGCCTCGTCATCAACCCTATTTGCTGCATAGTGACCCAAGTTTCTGCCCTGTTAATTCACCAGGAGAAAGAAAATGCAGGAAACAAGATTCAGTACTGTATGCCTGTTAAAGCAACCCATGTAATGTTTAAGATGACTACATTTTAGCAACTTAGGACCAAATTTGGAAAACACTGAAAGACCAATAACTATCGACAGTAGTGTGTACATAAAAATTTTAGGTAGACACTTGTATTAAACAGTCTAGATCAATAGAGTCGAAATACAGATTGAGATCCCATCGAGAGATTTGGTCAAACAGACTGAATGTTTTTATTGTCTGAGTGTTACAGGCTAACTGCAAATGATGTCTATTCATGAGGTAACCCTATTATTTACATGGTGGTGTAAGCTACGATTTGCCCCTTGTTTCTTGCAGTAAAACCTATCATAGTTGACTAGTAATTTTAAATGGCATTTGAGTGCCCCATTCTTAACCAAGCATTTTAAACAGGAAAATACGAGTTAATAATCTTTGTATGACAAGGATGCCAACCTCAGATAACAACCGTTGCTTATTAAGTAATTGGGTCCTAGCCTTGTTCTGAATTGAGTTTGGAGACTTGAACATTCTCTGCAAGAGAGAGAATGATCAAAATCAGCACATAATGACATGTAAAAGGAAAAAAACAGTATAAAACACGTGAGAGTAGCCAACAGATAAGAGAACATTCAGTAACAAAAATACAACAGTTAAAACACAATCAGTCATACAAACTAACCTTCTCACCACTAGACATCCGATGTTCATTATCATTAGGATATCTTCTCTTTGGTGTGAAATCAAAGACATCCTGAAGGAACTCATTTTCCTAATTTGCCAAGGCAGAAGAGAAAAATAACACTATTCTAAGCTTTTCAGCAAAATTAGAAAATAATGAAAAGTGCCAAGAGAAAGCCAACCTGCATATGCTTGATGAACCCTCCCCCTAAAAAGCGCTTGAGAAAGTTCAACTGTAAAAATATGTATGTTAAAATATTAATGCAGAAAAGAAAAGCATTGTCATAAATAATAATAGATGAATGAATGAAAAAAAGAAAACAAAAAACAAAACCTGTATCGTTTGGGACCATGAAGATGTCTGCAGTGAATCACCACCAATTTTCATCGAAATTTCAGGAGAGTAACCATACTAGTAACACAAGGTGTATTAAAGTTAGGTCAGTAAGGAAATCTGAGTTCCAGAAGCAGTACATCTTTTGTTAAAAAAGTGTGACCCACTACACAAGACTCCGACTAACTAAATGATGTCAGGGAGGGTAATATATGCAGCCTTACCCTTAAAAACAGAGAGGCTATTTACAGGATTCAAACCAGTGACCTTCAGGTCACATGGTTAACCTATTCTTTCCAAGTTCAAATTTCAAAGATAAAAATAGAAAGACAGCTAAGTACCTCAAAAAACTCCACAATATCTCTGAACAAGTTTCTCTGACTATTAAGATCTTTCTTAGCAGAACCTTTTCCACCAGCCTCAGCAGAAAGATTTTTTACTTGAATTATGACCTTCCCTTTCAATCCTTGTAAATGGCTGTAACTGTCCTGCCGATTCCTTTCTTCTTGAGTCATATCACTGGCACCCTTTGAATCAGCAGAAATTTTTTCTATAATTCCAATCTCAAAAATTAGAGCCAGTGCTTCACCAGCAGCAATACGCACTGGCCGGTCTTCCTTATCTAGAAGACTAGATAAATAAGATATTGAACTGCATCAACAACAAAAGCAATTATTTGGGTCCTAGACACTGATACAAACATAAAAGCACAAGGTCACGATTTTCAATATTTAATTCAATTAGTACCTATTTGGAGTCTGGAATTGGAGCTTGGAATTTAATTTGGTCTATTGATTCTAGTTTTATGTTTTGAAGCTGTTTTAGAATTAGAATCATAATTTCATATGACAAATTCAACAATTGCCAAATGATTGACAAGGGCCCTTTTCAATTCTTGTTGCAAGTTGGAATACGTGTTTCAATGAGAGAGAATCATGTCTAAGGTGCTGAATATGATTTCAAAAATGTGTCAACGTGTTTGGCAATTTTGACACTAAATTGATACGGTATCCAAACCATGGTTTTGTTACCCAACTGCAAAAGCAATACTTTTATTGCTTTTATGGTGGAAGAAAATTTTCTTTCTACATGTATTGACAAAAATATCCTCATAATTTAATATATGTACTCCTTAGTAATTACAAGTCTAACATTGATTTTATCAACATCACCTGTACAACAATCATTGTATTAAAATTATCTCTCATTGCATTTTTGTATATTACCTAAAGCTAGTGCAGGATTAAAAGAAAATAGATACACAGAAACAGGATTGCTTACTTTTGCCAATTTTTTGAATTTAGCTTCAACTGGCTCATGGTAGATAGGAGAAAGGACCAAGCAGATACCACAGCAGTTATTAATGGAGCAGAAGGTTTGACTGCAACTACCTAAACAATAAAAAAAAAACGCTGAAGCACTAAATTAAATGTAAAAAATTAAGCACACTAATGCAGAAATAAAGAACTGTTACTCTCTTCATATTTAGTGTTTAATCAAGTACGGCAAAACAATGATTATCTGAAACATATTACACCTGAGGTTGATAAACTAAACAGAAATAAAACTAACAAGTATTTTTGAAACAGATACCCACATTGGAACCTAATCTTGGATGAATTACTCGCCACATTATGTCCATTGATCTCTCTGTTTCCTCTTGATCATTCCCACCAACAAAAGTGATTATAGCCAAGCATTCCAGCAACTATGTATATAAATGACATTGAACATATAAGCCTCAATCAGAGTCTAACAAATCAGACAGCAAATTTTCACTAAAAGACTTTCCAAAACATCTGAACTCCTACTTACTGATGGAGTTTTTGACAAATCAGATTTAGAAGTGAGAAATTCATCTAGAGGACGAACCGATTCTTCAAATATTTCACGTACATTATCACCACTTCCAACAGTTAGGGCCAACAAAGCTATAAAAGAATCAAATTAAATATTTAATTATGTGAAGGCAACATCAAACATACATAAGTTCATCAAAATCTTACCAATGGCATGACATGCCAAAGCTATCTCCTTAGCAGATGCCTTTTTGGATCCCCTTTTTATTGAAGCAAGACACTGATGTAATAAGGTAGCAAATCTGATCAAAGAAAGGGGCCTCAGGGTTATGATGACCATCATATTTATCACAATAAATAAACAAATAGGTAAAATATAGCATATCTATACTTAACATGAATAGTGTTTGATATTGATATTGTATCCAGGAACCATCATATTGGAAAGAAAATTAAATAAATAGATGGGTGACATATAACATCTTATTTCAGATTAATACAGTTCTACACATGATCCAACCAGATAACACGGTAAGTTATATTATAAATAGTATTAGGATTTAGGAAGACACAGACATCGTAACTGATAAAATTGATTGATAACTTGGTAGTGTGTTTGATAAGACTGAAACACTGATATTTCAAAAGTTGAAAATTTAAGCGTTAACGCTCTGTTTGGCAAAGTTGAAAAAGAGGAAAGAAACTGAAAGGAAAATAAAGAGAAGAGAAAATGTAAAGAAAAAATAATAATTTTTTCTTTCTTGTGTAATCTTGTTTGTTTGGAAAGAAAAGTGCAAGGAAAGAAAATGTGATTATATGAAAAAGACATTTTTATCCTTCATATTTAAAAATATAATTTAACATGTATTCTTTTCAATTAAAATTTATTATTGAGTTAAAAGCAACTTGGAAGCCATTCCAATTGAAATTATAATTTAACACGCATCTTTTTCATTTAAAATATTTATTTGGTCACTAGCATCACGATAGACACTCAACTTCCACACTTATTATAAATTTCATTCTCAACTTGCCTTGCTTTACCCTCTTTACATCTACTGCCTTTCCCATCATCATCATCAAATTAGATGACCATGAGATTGCCACCCTCCCTAATTACCAAATCCTTGGCACCATGTCTCTGCTCTCTTCATTGGCGATTGACAACTGCATCAGCAACCTCAAGTACCTCTTCATCCTGCACATCAAGTGCTCACCAGGAGATGATGATCCCCAATGTACAAAGCTTCTGGTTATCTTTGACACAATGCACTGGTGGGAGAAGAGCCCATGATATAATTGGATAGGTATCTTCTATGGTAAAGCACTGTGTAGTAAAATGGAGAGCACAAAATGAAAAGGGCATATTCTTAGCTCTCTCTCCTCCATTTTCAATTGCTCACCAGTGAAGAAAATGTTTTAGTGGGATCCATGAGCTGAGTTTTCTTCCTACCCTGTTTTCATCACTCATTCAAATAGGCAAAAGGGAATTGCAATTTCTTTCTTTGCATTTTCAACGGTTCCAAACAATGCAAAGGATACTATTTTTCATTTAATGAGTTGATCATTCAAAAAAGGTAAAGAGATTATGATCAATACATGCAGCAGCTTCTCATGCACTGAGTTCTTTAGCACTTTTTCATTCAATTTCCTTCTAGGCAGGAATAAACAACGGTCTGGCTCTTGGAACTGGAATATCTTATTCCTATTCTCCACTGAATACTGTTCATCGATATTTCCTAACTTTTCGTCTACTACATTGCAAATCATTTTATCTTAATGTTTCAATTGAATGAAAATAAATTATTTAGTTTAGGGAAATTTAGAAATTGCAATTAAAAGTGTTTAGTGCGGAATGAGAATAACCAATTGGGAGCGCCAATAGCTGCACCCATTAAATAAGCACTGCTAAATCAATTTCAGCACTTTCATAACGAAACTGCACTTCTAAACAGGCCCTGAGTTGATTTAATCTTTTCTACGCTATCCAACTAGAGTTTAACTCAAAACTGTTGAATAAACAGAAAACTGAGCAAAGTTAAAAATTAAATGAGAGGCCTTACTTCTTGTCCACAAACTGATGCTGCATATTGCTATTGAATGCCCCAATGATCAATGACAAAGCTCTCTCCCTCGTGGAACCCCTTCATTCCCAAAACAAATAAAATTCCCTTTATGACACGAATTAATATCATATCATATATTAAAAATAATAATAATAACACAGAACAATTAGTTCGTATCTATCTAATTTTAGAATTGCAATTTACAACGCTAAACCATTATGACTGGAAAGTGGAAAGTTCAGTGAGTAACCTCTTCTCATCCAAAGCATCGAGAGCTTGATCGAGCAGAGCATCTTGATCGAAGTGCACTTCTTCGGTCCCTGACACGGACACGTGATCAGTTCGTGAAGTTGACGACGAACTCACACTACTATCATCGTCACTATCCAACATTGCAGCATTTTTACGTTGAGAATTACCTACCCATAACCACAACCAAAAACTTCATTCAAACTCGATCAATTTCCCTCCAAAACAATAGCATCATAACAGCACATAACATTATCACATTAATTAACCAATCAATTAATTAACAAATTAATTAAGCAATTTCAATTAACATCAAATAAGAAGAAAGCCTAGGAATATAAGCAGAATACGGTTCTTACGCTTTCCCATAACGGAAAGTAATGGTTCCTTGGGTGTTGTGTTTGGGACTAAGCGGCAGAAAGCGTTACGAGTTGAATGGGAATGTGATGGAAAAGTTTGGTGTGAAGGGAATTGGAAGAGAGAAAGAAGTAGGATGGTGTTGTTGAGTGTGGTGATGAATGATAAGCCATGAAAGATTCAAATGAGTGAGGAATTGGAAAACTGGTGAGATGAGGAATTCTGATTCTGAAGAGAGAAGAGGGAGACTGAGAAATGAGGAACGGTGTGGGTTGAATCTTGAAACTGGAAAGGGAATTATTCAAACTGGTGCAGGGGAATATTCGGCACTCTTCCGTGGAGTGGTTACGTGGCACATCTGAGACCGTTGATCGCTTAACTTTACAATACCATATGAACAACTTGAATCACTGTAACCACAGAGAGATGATAGAGTTATTAAAGTATTGATTGGTCTCTAAATTATAAACATTTTGTTAATATTACAATAACTATATGATAAAAATCGATAAATGTGGGGTGACGTATCTTTAAATTCAGTTAATGAGAGGATATACATGTTATAAGGTTTTAAAATTTAGCTAAAATCTAAAACAAATTTATAATCTGTGTTCTTATAGCACATACCAGGAAATAAAAATAACATTTCTTTTTCTCAATTCAGTACTTCCATTGTTTGAAAATATCAATATTTATAAAGAAAAAAATTATTTCTTTTATCCAACCTTTTTAAAAAAATCAAAATACAAACTTTTAAAATGCAAAATATAGATAAGTGTTATTTTTTAATTGTAACGTAAAAATGGCGAGATGCTGTGAATTGTTACGATTGAACTTAATACAAAATACATGAGATATTTACAATATATTTGAATAATTATTTATTTAAGTATTTATTTTTAAAAATTTAAAATAATTACATGTATTAAATTTAACGATAAAATTTTTATAAAACAACTTTAAAATATTTTATTTTAATAAATTATATTAAAAATTATTTAAGAGCCGTTTAAAATAGTATATAAAAATATTAAATTTATGAAATTAGTAAGTTATTTTGTAATAAATTATTTATAAATTCTTTTAAACATGTTCGTAACAGTTAATTATTATTTTAATTCTATTGTTTTAACTTGTATATATTCAGTGTTTTTTTGCTATTGTTTTTTTTCGTTATTTCTATATGCTGTTTTCCCCCTTCATTTGCCGTTTTTTATTTATTTGCATTTTGTTATTACATTGAAATTGAGTTCATTGGCCGTGAAAGCATTAGATTGCCTCAGTATATAATTATTTTTAGAGACTCCCTAGTCAGTGTTTTAAAAAAAAAATCACTTAAACGTTTCTTCTTCTTCTTTTTTTACACTGATCAGTTTGAGCCAAATCGGTCAATAATTTTTTTGGTAAAAAAAATTTATGCTTTCAGATAAAATAAATATAAAGACGAGAGAATGTTTGATTTCTGTTTTAAAAACAATTTTCTATTTTTAAAATAAAATTTAACGTCCCTTTAATATGTTTTAAAAAAATTTTAAATCACCGTGCAAAAATTATAAACCTTCAAGAAAGGGCAATTGGGCTCTAAAAAAGGCTTAGTTGAAGGCTGGGCCTACATGTTGAGACTTAGGAACAGATGGTTCAATGGCCTTCTCAAATTGGCAGATTGGCCCAGATCCATATTGGCTTCCTTTGGAACTAGATAAAAAAATAATTGAGTATTATATTTAATTTTAAAAATGTAATTATGCCTATCTCCTTAAATAATAAAATTCTATGAATCAAATATTTGTTTAGTTCTGAGTTTAAAAACCTTCTTAGATACTTTAATTTGATATAAAATTTATTTATGTATGTAATAGTTATTAGTGAAGCTGAAAAAATTATTTTAAAAAATTATGTATCTACTTAAAATTTTAAATTTATTAAAAAATTAAAAATTGAGTAAAATAAAACAAAATAAGATGTATTTAAATTTTCAACCTTTTTTATTTTACTCATGAAATTAAAATTATAAAAAAAACTTAAATTTAATAATTTTTTCACGGAACACTAATATGAGCCTAAATAATACATTATGAATCATTTTTTATGAAAATAAATATAGGTTATGCTTTCAATTAAATATTACACAAACACACACAAATCAGGTCCTACATATTCATGACAATGATATAGATTTGATGCTAAGCAAGAAGTTAATGTAGATGGTGCAAGTAATGCAAGAGGTGATGTAATAGATGGTGATGTAATAGATGGTGATGGAGATGATATTGAAGACGAGAGTTGCGATGATTTTGACATTGATAAATTATTTGAGTAATTTAGTATTATCTGCTATTGTCCATTGTCAAACTTCTTAAATGCTTTATGTTGTGAACTCTAACTGTAATCAGAGGGCTGCCGTTTGACAAAACTTAATTTATAATGTATTTTGGATTAAAGTTGTATTAAGAATGGTAGCTATGGTTTATAAGTCATTTGGCTTTTTTTTTTTTAAGTAGAACCGATAAGGCCCACTATTAGTTTTAACCCCTTATACTCTAGCAATTGTTCTGCCTCCATATAACTTCAATACCCATAATTCCAATACATGTTTAAACACTGAAGGACTTAAGCTTATAACAATGCAAAGGACTTAAGCTTAGAGACACTACGTAAAAAAGAGTTGTAAAAGCAATTCTATTTTAAATTAGACAATGTTTATAACTGTTTTAAAATCTTGCGTTATCTAATATGTTATATTTAAGAGAGCAGTTGTTTAAACTGATTTCAAATGTTAAAATTAGAAAGTGATTTCACACGAAACTGTTTTTTAAAGTATGAGTATTAAGATTTGAGAGCGATTCAACGCGGAACCGCTCTTCAAAGTATAAGTGTAAACTGCGAATTTAAAATTTAAAATTTATTTTTTTATGAGTTTTTTAGATTTGTTGTAAACTAAAATTAATTTATTATTACATTTAAATTTTAATTTATAAGTCTGACATTCAAAATTTCTTCATTTCTATCACAAACTAAAATTAAATCTTGATTTTATATAGTATGTTAATCAAATAGTCTACATCTGTATAAATCAAATACAAGTAAGTAGAAAAAAAAAAGAACAAATTAGTAGAATATTTTATTGTTAATAAAGATAAAAAGAATGAATAAATAAATAGAAATAACTATGAAAAAAGTACTTGTAGATGTGAAAAAGAATAATTTATTAGCGCAAAAGAGATGAAAAGAGTATAAAAGACAAAGAAAACAGAACTTACATACGTAAAAGAGACAAAAATAACTTATAGAAGTAAAAAATATTAACTTTATTAGTAAGACAAAAAACGAAGAGATTCATGAGTTGAGCGAGTTTTATTTATAAAAAAAAACTTTAAAGAGTGATTCTTTATTAAACACTCTCCAAGAGTAACTTTAAAGAGCTATTAATAGAAAATCACTTTTAGAAATACAAACATGAGAGTGGTTCAACGATAACTACTTTCTAAAGTATAATTTTAGAGAATGATTAATAAAAAAATATTCTCAAAATTATAGATTTAAGAGCAATTAATAGAGAACCATTATAAAAAATTTAAATTTAAAAGCAGTTCAACACTAACTACTTTCTAAATATATTATTATTAAATAATTTTTATTAACTATTATTTAAGTTAACGCTTCAAACACTCATTTTTAGCTTAGTAAGAGCTTCTTTCCTAGTAAACTTTCCATTTGTATCCTTGCAAGTGATTGTTGGAGTCTTCGTCCACTAAAATATTCTTACCATTTGAGTCTACAACTTTGTCACGGGAAGCTACAAATTTCAGTTTAATCAAAAGTATCATTTGATTTAAAGTCAAGTAGAATTAATTTTAATGAAATTGATTTTGATGGCTGAATATAATTAAAATATGTACATCCATTAATCTGAACCATATATTTTTACTAAAACATATTTTTTTGTATTAAAAAGCATATTAATTATTATTATTTTTATTTATAAAACAAAAAAAGTTCTTAATCAACCTCAACAATATCTTGATTGAATTGAATGGATTAATTTTCATTAGTTTAGAGCGAAAATATTTGTGAATCATAGTTAATAATAATTTGTCTAAAATAAAGATATATATTTAATTCTTATAATTCATTTTTTTATAAAAGTTATAATTAAATTTTTTTATAAGAATGTTTATTACATTTTAATGTTTGTTGTTACAATATTATTAATAATATTATAATAACAAAAACTAAAACGTAAATTTTTTTTCAAATATACAAGTTAACATGCAAAGATAGAAATTAAATATATTGACTTCATCGTTCTTCTGTTCTTATGAAGTCAAGAAATATATAAGTTGTTGAGGGAGGGTTAGTTCACCTTATAAAGGTAGGAACTAAGTTAAAGTAGAGGACAATTGATTAGTAGATAATATATATAGTTGGATTGCAAATTTTGTTGAGGATGGTGATATTTGGTAGTCTAGTAGTAGGAGTGAGCATTTTTCTAATCTAAACATTTTCATTAAAAGAAAAGAAAATAGTCTTAGTAGAGTACCTATCTGACCTAGGAACTTGTCATGAATGGAGAATGAAGGAACCATATATGGCAATGGCAAATAGCAATAATTGGGGAAAAGTGTGGCTGTATTATAGGTTTCCCACGCGTGCAGTCCAAATCTTATCGCTCTCAATTGCTTCATCTGCTTGTCACTCATGGTCCCACCCTCTTGTCTCCTTATCTCTTCCAACTTTTCCAATTATTTGTTTCCTCCATTTATATATAGTTTTGACAAATTTATGGCGTCAATTTTTGTGGGATCACCCAAGTCAAATCATATGACCAAACTTCTACAACAGTCCAAACCAATCGATCAATGGAATACGGGTACCCTCCCAATAATAGTGTCAACAAATAAATTTACAAGACCTTAAATGTTATATTAACTTTATAATATTACAAAACATTTTCTTTGTTTGATATAATTATAATAAAGTGCACCCTTCCCCTCTCTTATTTTAAATAATGCATACATTTTCCTCCCTTGAATCCTTGTTTCCGTTGCTGTCCTTCAAAGGAGAAACAATCAACATTATCAGGTTCTTCCCACCTTTGCCTTTGGAACCAGAGCTAGTTTCATGCCCACGTACAAAAGTTATCCAGCAAATGAAACTTGTTGCTTTCTCATTCTCAGAATTAAGAGATGGCTACAAAACCTGAGAAGGTACATACTTCAAAATGTACTCTCGAGAAATAAATACAAGCTAGCTACATTACATTACAAC